TAACATTGTCTCCAAGTCCAACCCACACTTAGGGAAGGGGATCACACAAGGCTTGACTGTGGAAATGGAGGAGAGTTTTGGCCTTTTGGAGGTTGTCTACCATGTATTTCCTGTGACAGCTCATTTAATTTTTCTGTGATTTTTTTCAGTGTTTTCTACTTACTGTTGCCTGCCCACCTTCTTCCAACCTTTGTCTCTCTCCTTTCCTCCATATCCTGCCCCATATCTTCACTTCACTTTGCCCCCTACTGCCCTCTTGCCTGCCTTCTACTCTTAGGGATCCCTACTCTTTGCCTCTGCTGTTCTTTCTGTGCTGGTCCTCTGTGGTAGCCATTGTACCCGTGCTGGACAGTTTCCAGCTTCCCCTGCAGGCCTATGTGTTATCCCCACCTGCTGCCTCTGGCTGGTAACTCTGTTCTGTGCCCACTTTGTCATTTCCCTTTACTGCCTTATGCTTGGGTTTTATCTTATCACATTGCAGTTTTTATTTTGAAGACTTGAGTATTTATATGCTTTGAGGTTTGCCTATTTCATGCTCATAATTTCTTTTTTGATAACCTCCATGGAAGGCCTCACTATCCTTGGGGAGTGGGTGAGGGGCATGGAAAGATGGGAGGGAGAGGGAATGGGAGGCTTGATGTGTAAAATAACATTGTTTCTAAATAAAAATGATTAAAAAAAATGAGAAATCATTCATTTGTCTTTGAGGCAACTTACACATGTATATTAAACTATTTTATCAGTGGGAGATTTTTATTTTTTCTTTCTATTAATTTTTATTTAAATTAAAATCAATATTATTTTACACACCAATCCTAGTTTCCTCTCCCTGTCCTCCCATCCTACCCCCCATCTACTCCTCAGGGAACATGAGGCCTCCCATGGGGGATCATCAAAGTCTGTCACATCATTTGGGGCAGGACCTAGGCCCTCCCCAGTTATCTAGGCTGAGATTATCCCTCCATAGGGAATGGGCTTCAAAAGCCCATTTGTACACTAGGGATAAATACTGGTTCCACTGCCAGAGGCCCTGTAGACTACCCAAGTGTCCCAATTGACCCCTACGTTCAGGGAGCCTGGTTCAGTCTTATGTGGTTCCCCAGCTGTCAGACTGGGGTCTGTGAGCTCTCTCAATGGGAGATTTTAATACTCTGCCTATTTGATGAGAAGCCAGTTTTATTTTTTAAATGATACTTTTGTTCTGTTTAGGAGGATAAAAGTCTTTGTCTTTTAGAATAGGACATTGAAGTCTACACAGATGAAGTTACTTGCTGGGACACTTGACAGGTGTTTGTGCACGCTTATATGTGTTTGAGCATATGTGTGTGCACTCCTGTCTTAGTTCTTGGTTGTAGAAGCATAGTGATGTCATCTGACTTTTTAGTACATCATTTTGTCTTGTGCTTGAAGTTTTCATAATAAAAAACATTTCATTCTTGCAACATTGTCCCATGACATTAGTTTGATCTAGGGTGAATCTGTCTTGGTTACTGGTTTTGCCAGTATGTTTCCTTACCTAAATGAATCTAGATTCACATTTGTCTGGCTGTTTTCTTTCCCTGCTCACCTTCAGTGTGGCCTTTGTACACTGATGACATTTTTCTAACTGTCTGTACCTACCAGGTCAGGCCCAGTTCTTCCTTCTATCTACATAGCTGTGATGATACACGGCAGAGGCCTCAGGTGCTGGGCTTGTTGTCCTGGGTTGGGTCTGGGGCCTCCTGTTTAGGCTGAGCAAAGAGAAAACCATGTGCGAGAGGGGTCTATGGAAATTTGTATTGCCTCCTGTTTGCTTCAGGGTTCACCCTCAGCTCCAGATGTCCAGCTTCATCCCTGCCCCTCGGAGGAGGGTGGGGTTTATTTTTATCCTTCAAGATTGGAAGGTCTGGGCTGCTCTGACCTGCTCCAGCCCCAGCCCAGCAGGCCTGTGGCTCCCACTCCGCCTACTTCTTTGTGTGTCCCTTCTGTGTTGGCTCTTTAATCCTAGTTTTGAACCTGACTGTGTCTTTTCAGGCATGCGTTCTCTCTGCTGTGATGTGTGTAGCAGCGGTGCATCAAAGTATGAGCTACCAGTGTAGTGTTGATGGAAGGAGGTCCTCGACTAATCCACTGAAGATCCCTCCACTCCTGCTCAAAGCCTCCTTCCACTGTGCACATCATCATAATGCTGATATTTGCCCTGTGTTTTTGAAGCAACATACTTGGTTTGATTTAGTATTTGTTTTCCCAGAAGACTTGGTTGGGAATTTCTTTAGACAAAATAGCAGCCTGCTAGCTCGTCGGTTATTGGGTCATAGTCAGATCAGACTCTGAAACTGACTATCTACACACATACTTGCTTTCCCCACCAGTTCCATGAACACATCTGATACAGCTGAGGCTCCCTTTCAGGAATGCTCAGTCATAATAGACACTTGGGAGCAGCTTAGTTCCTGGGACCATGATGGCTACTCCAGTGTCACCTGGAGAGATGTCTCTTTCCAGGGAGCCTGCTGACTGTAAGCCTTGTAGTGGAGCTGCTATTGTCTAATGCACTCTTCACTCACCAAGATCAAATGTTAGGGTGCCTGCTGTGGGCTCTCTTCTGCATTGCCTCCTGTCTATTATTGCTTGTGGAGATTTCACGGGTAACTAGAGTAGGCAAGCACTGCATGGCAGGGGCATCATGAAGTGCACAAACCACAGAGCTTCCAGTCAATAGGCTGCCCTTACTCTTCTCTCTCTGCTTGCCCATTACATCCTTACCTGACCCAGCTTTTGTCTTTTCATGCAGACTTCAGTCCATCTCAGCCTCTAGCCTGGGCAGTGAGTCTGATCATGAAGACTCTCTGCCTTGAGCTTTACTGCTGCAGCTGTTTGCTGATGTGTGACCTAGTGGCTGCTGGCTGAGTGTTCCAGGAGCCTCTGCCCAGAGACAAACTCACAGTATGTCATTTGGAGGGTGGGTACATGCCTGGATGAGCCTCCTTGTCCTTCCTGCCCCACTAGACCCTAAGGAATGGCAGCTGAAGAGTCTCATGATAGTTTTGCCTTCAGATGTCATACTTCTGCTTGACTGGAGCTACAGGTCAGAAAATGGCAGGTCCAAGCCCTGCAAGATATTCCCATACTGACTGCTTAATTGTATCAGATGCGCTTCTCCTGTGATTGCACCAGAGATAATTCACAGTTGATGCTGGGCTGCTGAGAGGCCCCACACAGATTAGCCATGCTTGTGTGCCTGGGGCACAGCCTCATCCTCTCTTCATCATGCTTTGAAAGGTCCTGTGAGAAATCCCTGGCATTCAGTCCACTGCCTATGTTTAGCTTTGCTGGAGTATTGGCATTCCAGAGGCATTCCAGGAGCCTTCTTGAAAGATCTTGTGAGAAATCCCTGCATGTAGTCCCTTGTCTGTGTTTAGCTTTGCTGGGGCATTGGCATTCCAGAGCCTTCTTGGGAGTTTTAGATTCTTCAGCCTCTGGTGAGCCAAGTTGTTTCTTTGCTCCACTTGACAGGTAAGGGGAAATACATGAGAAGGGTAGTTTGCCCAAGACTAGAGAGGCCGCTGGCCTGGCATTGCCTGCCTGTGTCTTAGCCCTTTCCTTGCGCCCTTCAGCATGTGCATGCTCACACTGGTATGCAGGTAGCACACTGCTGCTTAGTTTCTGCTGTTCTGGGAGATTCTAGGCCAGCAGGAATATGACTGCCAAGGAGATGGGCTTTTAGGATCATTGTCTCTTTTCTTCCCTTGTATTTTTGAGACTCGTCTACTTAAAATAAAAGCTCAGGACTTGGAAATTGTGTGGATTCAGGTTCATAGTGGACTTCAATCATTGATAAGCTTGTGCTCTTGGGGATTGTGAGGGTGAGTGCCACTAGGAGCCAGGTGCAGTGCTTGGGCACACAGCCCTCATATGGGTAGATAGCAGTTAGGAGAGATAATCCCTCTTCCAGGTACCCCAGACTGTCCCAAGCTTTCGGGTCCCTGATGGCTGTATCTGTGTTGGGAAGACAAAGGCAATGGGACTTGGCCCCTAATAGGCTGAAGATGTGGGTATTCTGGTTAGCGGCACATGCTCCCAGCTGCACCAATGCTGTGAACCTTCATAGAGGCCTTGTTCTGACCCTGCTCATCTCTGTTGGGGTTCCTTCAGCCTTCAGCCAGTTTTGTAGGTGTAGGGAGCAGAAGACACTTCTGTTTGTTTTAGCCATTGTACCAGAGAGACGTTCTGTACAAGCAAGGAAGTTGTTCAGCGTTATATTGCTACTTAAGGATAGAACTGGGCTGCACCCCAAGGCTGCTAGCTCCTGGCTGTTCACTCTGACTAGCTGAACCAACACCCTTAACATGACTGAATGAGGGAGGCTCTGTTAAGCTGGCTTCAAAGGACTCACTCACACACACCTCTTAGCCACCTAGGGGATATATCCCCTCCTCTTTAGAACTCTGCCTCTCTTTCTGTACACATGGACCCCTGCCATGATAGCTTAGCATATGGGGTTTAGCATGGTGTACCATCAAATATCAGGACTCTAAAAACAGTGCCAGGCTTTGCTCTTTCCAGACTGATGTTGGAGGCAGCTTGGTGCTTTAGCCAGACCCAAGTCCATCTCTGGTCTGCATGGCTGTGAGCTGTTGAATACTTACTTGGCCCCTCTATTGTGTTTCCTATCCTGAGGATCCACTGTGACTCTTGACGCTAATTAACTTATTGCACTCTACCTCCCTCTTAGGCATTGGAAGGAGCCTAGAAATGCCCAAGAAGCATGTAGAACAGGACTTGGCAGATAGTAAGCATTCAGTAAACGTTAGTGATTATCATCTGTAAAATGGTTGTGCTAATTACCCACCTTGAAGGGCTGTTGTGAAAATTGAGCATAACACATGTGCATGACCTGCCACAGCATAGGCTCTCTGTGCATTGCCTCTGATCTTCTCACTGAGCATTGTTGTGAGCAGAAATGTCAGTCTCCCTCTCCCTGTTGCCAGCTAACACAGGCTTTGTTCTCCTCCAACTAGGCCAGGGAACTGGAGAAGAGAGAGGCCGAGCTCAACCGCCGTGACACCTTCTACAAGGAGCAGCAGGGGCGCATCCAGGAGAAGGTAAGGCTCAGGCCTCGTTTCCTCCAGGTAGGTCCCAAAGGAAGCTGACCAGAGCCCACCACCACCATGGTGGGGGAAGAACAGCAGGCTCCATGCCTGCCTACCCCAACACCGTTCACCCTGTGGACGTGCCCATCCTCCTGCCTCCGCAGGAGCACCACAATCACAGTCTTTCAACAAGTTGCAATCACAGACATAATTGCTTTTTAATTGGCCATTTTCTGTGAATGTGGTTGGCTCTGCTACAATCCAGTTTTAGAAAAATAATTCACTTTCACCACAGGGCGGTGCTGAGACCCAATACACCTTTTTCACTTGAGTTAAGCCGCATTGGGTAAAAATAATAATAACATGAAGCCTTGCTGTACAAATGCATTAAAGTTGTATCATCGATTTTCTCCTGGGACTTGGGAAGATCAAAGTGCTCTGCTGCTGCACGCTTGCTGCTGTTCTGAGGATGAGCCCAGAAATGCAGGAGAGTCATAGGCATTTCTACCTGTTTAAATGTTGTCAGTGCATGCTTGAAAATTTATTTGGTGAAGTGCTTACTTTGGAGGGTTTAATTTGTTGATTATGACAGATTTTTACAAAGAAAGGGTTTATAACATGGGAGAAGATGGTTGGGAGTTTTTTGGTTTTTTTTTTTTTTTTTTTTTTTTTTTTTGTTTTTTTTTTTTTTTTTTTTTTTTTTTTTTTTTTTTTTTGGATTCTCCCTCATGCCAAGCATTCTGAGCCACTAGCTATTGTGGGCAAGTCTTCTCCTGTCATTTTTCAGGGTTTGGAGCTTTGGAAGTGACAGTTTGCTTGAGGGGTCCTGCTTTCCATGGGGGTTTTCTCCTGCAGCATGCCACAGCAAAGCCTGGCAGAAGTGTAGGTTCTGGATTTCCAGGTAATGGGGACAAGAGGGCGGTGGCTCCCTGCTTCACAGCCACCTGCTTGCCCACTTCTGCCAGGTATGTAGAGGAAAGCCAGCATTGAGGATAGAGCCCTGACAGTGACACCCTGCAGTCCTAAGCACGTGCCTGGGCAGTGCCAAGAGGCCTTTAAGAAGCCAGCATTCTCAAAGCAGCCTGTGCACAGGTTTGACTGTAGCTTGCCATGTTAAGAATTGTGATTTGAGATTACAAAAAAGAATTAAAAAAAAAAAAATCCACCAGCCATGGCTCTAATTATCACAGTCGCCCATATGTTCTCAGGCATGGAGATATTCTTTCTGCTTGTGTGTGCAGTACTCTGTTTCCTGCTGTTCTCTCTCCATCTCTGTTTGGGCTTGGCTACTCGGAGCGTGTGCCCATGCTTCTGTAGGGTGGAAGGAAATGGTCTTATAGCAGTTTCCTCCACTAAAATCTGTTTTCCTAACATCACTCTTCTCTTCCACCTGCACTCCAGTTTTCTCCATGAGACCAGTCTTCTGCTTTGCCAAGGGAGAGGCAGTTCTCCCTCTAAGCTCTTCCATATCCCCCCTTCCTCCCTGCTGCTGGTAAAGCAGAGTCCAGCTCCTTACACACAGAGATGGGCCATTTTGAAAGGGGAGAATTTTACCTGCTTGTGAATAGTTCCTCACTTTCAGGAGGTGTCAAAGCATGCTCTCCTTTCTGCTAGTGCTTTGCTGGCAATAATAGAAAGGAAGACACCCCACATCCTAGCAAATGGAGAGCATGCTGGAGGAAGCAGGGTTGTGGGGAGCCCACAACAGACAGAAGAGGCCAAAGAGTGAGGCTTAGCTGCAGTAGTTCTGAAAAAGGTTTCCAATCTTTCCAGTGGATAATGTTACTCTGGTAATGGCTGGGAAATGAAAATACATTCCCTGACAATCTCTATCAGCTGCTGCTTTCCCTCAGTTTGACTTCTGTTTGCTGAGCACTCTTAGACCCATTTGCAGCTCCCACGTCTTCCAGCCATCATACACCTTCCCTCCCCTCTCTCAATATCCCTTCCTTGTTTCTTTCTCTCTTTTATTTCCTTTTCTGTTTCCTTTAAGTGTAGATACTGACAGCACAGCCTGATCTAGGAGGGAGTGACACAGACATGGACAGTGGAACCCTGTCTGGGGAAGGTGGGATAGTATGGAGAGTGGACTCCTTTCCAGGAAGAGATGGGCAGGGTGCAGGGCAAGGCAAGAGTGAGGTGGAGTGGTGGAGGCCCCAGACTAGAATTCTGCCATCTGCCACCTGTCACCTATGGGGTCAGTCCCAGGGTTCCATGTGGATCTCCCTTGGACAAAATGACAGACAGGGAAGGAAAACCTGCACCATCCAGTCTCCCAGTCCAGGAAAAGGAGACTTTGTGGTGCTTTTGTACCACCATGTTTGTTCTGCCATGGTAGTATCTTAGTGTGGAAGTGGAGGCTGTTGTACTTTTCAAACTTTCTGAATAGTTATTCCCTGTGCCCACATGGAAAGGTATAAGTGTAGAGAGTTGAATTTTGTCAGGGAAAAAAGTCAACTGTTGAGTGCATGAGCCAATGGAAGGTTCTCATGCACCTGAGGGAGAACTATAGGCATGCTCTTCACAGGGGACAGTAGTGGAGCTGAGCTGGTATAGCCTGGATGTCTGATGGGCTAGCGTGGCCTCTACTGTGCTGCAATTACCATTCCTCCCTGTGTCTCCATTTGCTCATCCTTAAGATGGAGTCATCTGTGCTGCCTGTAAAGATGGAGTGGAGACTAATGTGGGCAGTACCTGTGGAAGTGTTGCCCTGGGCCAAGTGCCCAGGGAATGCTGGTTATGCCCTGTAGCCAGTGACATGGGGTCCTGAATGGTGTCATAGTGAGTTCTTCAGTTTGGGATTAGTGCATGAGCATGAGTACATGATTGCTGTGAGCTTGACCTAGGCATGCTGGTGTGCGTTTCATTCCTGATGGTGATCTCGTCCCATCTCCTGTTCTCTGGGATGGAGAAGTCTCCTCTCTGGGCTTCATAAGGCTTTTTATGAATGCCTGCCAGGAGCCCCACAGACCGGGCATTGTGCAAGAGGCTGGGGCCAATTGCTGTTCACACTAGCACTTCTCACACAGCAAGAACATTTTTTGTTGTGTGAGGATACACACATCAGGAAGGTGAAACCCTCAGCCGTCTTCAGAGTTGTGCTTATGGAACTTCTTGCCATCTTTGTTGCCCTCCCACTGAACATGCACTCAGCTGGTTTTGTTTTGTTTTGTTTTGTTTTGTTTTGTTTTTGTTTTTGTTTTGTTTTGTGACTTCTGGGAGATGAATGAACGAATTGGGGCAGGGTCCCCACACTGCCTGGAATTGGCTCTCAGGACTGGAGTGACTTGTGTCTCTTCTCTCTTCAACCAGTGAGTTTTGTTTTCTTCTGGCAAGAATGCTTGTGAAATGCCTGAAGTGCCTTGAAAGCCCATAGAGCCGACTGCTTTTGCTGGCAAAGCCCCATTGGCTGTGGCTAGCCATAGCTTCCCATGGAACTAGGAAAGGGGGCAAGTCTGGGAAAGGGGGCAAGTGCACTTTAAGGTCCCACAGACATCATCTAGTTTTACCTTGGTCATGGAACAACAACCTTGAACTGAGTGTGGTGTTTATATCCTCTGATCTCAGTTTTCTTATGCTTGAAGTGGGGTGGGGTGGTAATCTGCCCGTTATTTTATCATGAGTGATTATTTTTGTGAAGCAAATAACAAAAATGCATACTGATATAAGTAATAAGTTTTCTTTAATATTACTTCCACTCTTTCCTTCTTTTTAATTTTCAATACATAACTGTTAATTCCACATCAATTCATGTTGGCCAACTTCCAGGAGGAGAGATGGTTCATACAGGTATGGCTCAGTTTCATGGAGGCCTCAGGTATAGAGGGTAGGTGGTGACTCCACCTTGTGGAGTCCTCTGGGGGAGAGACAAATGATGCCCATGTTCTGGCTTCTAGGCCACAAAGACCTCCCAGTTCTGTAAGACCTCATCTTACCTTTCCCAGACTCAGCAGCTGCACAGAGGAGAAAGCTTGCAGGCTAACTTCCAAGACTGAATTTGGGGGAAAAAAACTCAGAAATGTTTGTGTTCCTCCTGGACTTAGCCTCTTCTCATCTTCCCCATGTGCACATCCTGCTTGCCTGTTCCTATGGTCAGTCCTTTCTCCCTGCTTTCTCTAAAGCCTGCCTGACCCAGGCACAAGTATCGTGTCTCTTGGGATACTCACTTGCTAGTGAGCATGTACACACCTAGGAGCCATGGGTGAAAGTATTGTGCCCTCAGCAGAAGGGGCAACACAGGAGAGGTGAGGACAACTGAATTCTCAGACGCTGCTGTCTGTAGGACTACATTGGCACAGCCACTTCAGAAAAACTGAGGTCCAGTCCTATTAGAACTAGACATTCCCAGTGACCCAGAAGATTCTCAGAAGAAACCATAGGGCATTCCTAACCTTAGTGCTCAGGATAGCCTCAGACCAGAATCATGGAGTCCGTTCATCTATCCAGTGAGGACTGAGTATGAGCAGCCTACAGCTGCAGGCAGCGATGGTGATGGAAGCGAAAGAGGCCAGGTGTTGAAGAGAAATGCGTGATCTAAACTACATAAAATTCAGAAGCATCAAAGGACATCTGTGGGTTACAAAGTTGAACAGGAGGAGAAGCCCTACTGGAAGAGGAAGCATGGGTTGGCTAAGAGTTACTCTTTGACCTGGGAAGGATTCACCTGTCAGTATGTTAGATGTTAGAAACAAGGAGATGCCACTGTGGAGGGCAGGCCACCAGGGAGTGCCTGGTGTTCTCTGCTGCCCTGTTCCCTCTCCGGGGGCCCTCCCAGGGATTCTAGCACACAACACAGCACATACCATGCTGACTAGTACTTGCTGGTGTCTGTGGCTTTTGCCCTTCTTCCTATAAAAGTTGTTGAGCACAGCCCTGACCATTCAAAAGGGTGATTCATCATTGTGGACCAGAAATGCAGTCTCTGGCATATAATAGGTGCTCAGTATGTATTTTCCAGAAAAAAGAGAGGAAAGTGTGTGCACATAACAAGAAACAAATGCATTCAGGTTTCTGGAGAGGAAGAAGGGGAGCTTTGCCAA